GAAACCCTAATTGTACTTGCTCTTTTGAAAACGAAGCCCTAATGATATTTTGTGTAGTACGAATACCTCGGATTACACTGTATATTCAATTGTTCAAGACTCCAATGTACATATATGTATAAGTGTTTAACCTTGTCTAGTAAATGTATTCCGCTGAGACTATGATTTTTTGGTTTGGTGGGCATGTTCTCACCTTAGTAGTTTCCAATTGTGCATTTTCTTTGGGTCCTATCACGCGCAATATATCAAGTTTGTGTAAATCGACTTAGTAGTCCCGGCGAGAGCTGGGCAGGCGGTCCGCTAACCCCTTTGGTACGCCTTAGGGGAAGGTGGGGCCATCACAGGTGGTATCAGAGCCTGCTTCGTGTGGTCTCTGCGCGGAGTGAGCATGGACTGAGTGGTGAATAGGTATGAAGGATTAAGTACTCGTTCGAGCATAAGCTACGAATTGCGAAGGTTCTAGGCCTTAAATTTTCTTATGGTATTTGAGAATCATAGATAGGTATGTCGGGTAGGAATTTCGATTGTAGATAGTTTACTCTTGGGACTGGCCAGCTCGAGATGTGAATTATTTTATTTCGGATTCTCGTGCCCGAGTACTCTAAAGTTGAGGCGGTGTTAAGTATTTGGAGATTTCATTTTGGAACCATGAACAGGCTTTGTCTGACTAGAATGAGCACAAGAGGTCAATGGACATCTAGTTTGGATAGTAAGTGACGTGAGAGACCAGACGGGCTGATACTGGGACGGCTTCACCTTTTCCTTTTGGTTCGCCCGTATATTCCTACCACCTGACGTTAGTATATGTGTTTGTGTACATGGTTATCTGTCCAACTTGATATGTAATTGTGTACTTTCTTATCCGTCTTTTGATATGGTGTGTTAGGTGCAATATGTTATTTGTGTAATTGGTATGTTGGATTTTGTTATTTTATTTACTGCATTCATTCATTAAAGTACCCTTTTGGAAAGAAAAGAGAGAGGGAAGGGAAAACTATATATATCTGAAGGAAGACGTAGTTGCGGATATGGTCATAACTGTGGAACAAAACTAGGCTAGGGGTCAAGAGAAGAAAAGGGGGGAAATAACAGCTGAAGAAAACACGGACCGAGAGTGCCACGTGTATGCAAGAATTTATTATGATCCATTGTTTTGCTCGACAGGCTACCATCTGAGTTCCAGCAATTTTGTGACGTGACACATTGGGTTGAGATGTATAAGGAAATCGCGGTTCTCCGAGACGAAATAGAAGTTCAAAAGAACCTAGCCGCATACTGGGAAGGGCGATGGAAGCACGAGTACTCAGAGAAAATTAATCTCTTGCACAAGAATTTAGAGCTAAAAATAAAATACGAAGGGATTTCCGAAGAGGCCTTAGCAATGGCCCGAAGCACTACTTCTATGGGGGTTCCAGAAAAAACTCAAAGGACAGAAATTGCAAGGCCACAAGTGAAGACCTTCCGTGCAAAGAAAAGGAGCGCATCTCGTGAGAGTCAAAGGTCAAAACAGGGTAAGCGAGGTAGGCCATTTGCTAAGAAGGGTCGTGGAGCGGGTGGTGTGACAATTTGTGGTTATTGTAGGAAATCCAATCATATTGAAGTGGATTGTTGGAAAAAGGGGAGAAGGTGTCTGCGCTGTGGGAGCGCCGAGCATCAGATTGCTAATTGCCCGAGTTTATTGCACGAAAAGAAAGGAACCCAGCAGCCAACCCAGACCGACCCTGGACCGTCAACTAGAGAAGGGACTGGAAGGAAGAGCCTCGTTTCTTCTGAGGACGTAGAAGGTACAGGCTACTAGTTACTTGAGTTTTGCTCGATTCCGCTCAGAGAAAATTTCGAGGACGAAATTTCTTCAAGGGGGAGAGAGTGTGAGAACCCGTAATTTTCTTAATTACTAGGTTTTATTTTCTTTTAATTGCACGTTTTTCCACATTTTCTCATTTGGAAAATCTTAAAAATAATTTTTATGTGTAAATATGGTTTTTAAATCATTTTTCTAGTATCGCATAGTTTTTGAAAAAGTAAGAGTATATATCGGACGTGGGACCCGCTAGTGCGAAAAGTTCGGAAAAATTCGGCCAGTTCGGTTAAGTTTTGGATACTGGATTTAATTTATCGGGTGTTATGAGATATTTAGAGGTTACCCAGCGGATTGGTGTGAGAGAGACAAAAGGTTAGGCATGCAATTAATGAAAGTGACATGTGTCACTTAGAGGTTAAATCTTACTTTTGACTTACTATTCATAACTTTACCATTTAAACCAAAAATTGACCAAAATTTCCTCAAATTTGCAAGCTTCTTGCCCGGCCCTTATCAAGCAAAAAGGAAAGAAAAGCTCTCCAATTTCTTAGCTCCAATCTTGCCCAATCTTTCAATTCAACTGGTTAATCTTCAAATTACTCCATAAAACCTCTTAAGTTAGTGAAGTTAAGCTTGGTTGTGAAGTGGTTTGAAAGCTTATGGTGTCAAGTTGCTCCTCCTCTTGAGTTATTAAGGTGAGTAGCTAAGAAACCTCTCTCCTCTATCTAATGATGCCTAATTAACAACTTGTGGTAGTTTAAGAGGTGAAATTGTCGGTTATTTTATGATTTTAGTGAGATTGATGACATTTTCTATTTATTTATGATTTTTCTGTTTTAATATGATTCATGTGGTGTGGCCATATGTGATGATTGGAAATGATCTAGAATGAAGCCTTAGTGGGTGAATGGTAGTTAATTGCAGAAAATTTCAGTTTTGGAAGGAAAATTGGAAAGTTAGGGTTTCATTTTCCCTAATTCTGTCTGCTACTGTTCATCATAGTTAGAGGCCGAATTAGCCTTGGGTTAAAACATGAAAGTTGTAGGGAATGATATTTTAGAGATGCCTACAAAATTTCAGGCCAATCGGAGTTTCGTAGCTTGTGAAAAGACCGAAAAACCCTTGTTGCCCTGTTTCTACCTGAACTTGATAATTGCTTCTGTAATTGGCTAATATGATTGGGAATATAACTGATTTGGTTGTTGAGGTCTTCTGATGAAATGTAGCCTGGTGTCTTAGCTTTCGAATGGCTTTGGTTTCACCTGATTTGGACTCAGGTAGCCTGAATTACGTTTCGTTAACCAGAATGCGGTTTGTTAACCTGTTTTTTCGGTTCTGATTTAGTATATTGCATTTTTGACCTGGTTGCACTAGACAATGGACTGAGTGGCCTTCTACAACATTTTATCCCTACTTCTTAGCTTCGAAACGGTGTGTCTTGCACTTCCATCCGATAACCGTAGTGCCAGTGGTGTCAAAACCGCTAAATGACGTCAAAACTGTTTTTAGGTTTTAGGACCTACCTTTCATTCCGATTATTTTCCTAGCTAAATCTTGTACTTGAATGACTATGAGCCTATTGAACGGCTGTTATAATGAATTGATGTTGTGTAAGACTTTGGGATTGCTTGAGGAAATAACGAAGCCATAAGTGGCTGGGAAAATAGGTAAATACAAAGGGCATGCTGCCCAAAATTTTAGGGCTATGTGAGTCCTTCAATTGAGTTGATCTTAGTACAAATAAAGGGTTTTGGGGGTTGTTTATAACCCTAGGACCAACTGTTATCTTTTTGCTCTGTATTAGTACTGAACCTGGGGCAGCATATGACATCTGGTCGAGCCTTACTTGTGCATTTCGTTTACTCGATTTTGGATGTGAAACCTTCAATTGGTTTACTTTGATGATTTTAGGGTTCCTTGGTGATTAAAGCCAATCTGATGTGAAAACTTTTGAAGTATCTGTACTTAAACCGGTGAGTGTACCACTCCCCTCAATTGCTGTTTAACTTGATTTCTGCCTTGCAATCTGTGATTTAAATGACTGCACTATCTGTTTATTTTGTTTGAGATGAGGGTGTACTTTATTACACTCGTTCTCTTGTCTGTTCATATGCCAATTTTGGTGCGAATCTAAATCTGAATCTGTATCTGTTATCTGTATTTGTATCTGTATCTGTTCGGACGTCGTTTGGAAACTTGTATCCAACGACCTTTCTGTGACCTCTGAGCTCAACACCTGTGGCTAGTTATTCGAGTCGGGCCGGCAACGGCCTGGTCGATTAGATAACAAACCACGGTAGTCTGTTTTGGGATCTTTGGATATTGAGACCCTTGATTCCGGTATACTCGAGTATTACCACTTCTGTTCTGTTCGATGTTCGGGCCCGGTAGGGGTATGTTTGGTGGACGGAAAATTGGTGTAAAGTGGGGTCTACGGATATGTTGGTTCTATTTACGTTGACGGAGAGTCAACGAGTTCGGATCAAGTACTACAGATGAAAATCTGGCTCCTGAGAGCCACCTGTATCCTTTCCTTTGAATCATTGTGTCCAATCTGGTTTCTTTTATATCTAGTATATGTATCTGATGGGTTAAACGTGAAAGACCATGATTTTACCCCTATATGTTTGGTACCTCATTGAGCGAAAGCTCACCCCTTCCTGTTACCTTTGTTTTCCTAGCAAGGAACCACTTCTTGGAATTGTGACTTTGAAGCATGAGTTGAGCTAGTTAGATATTTTGTATTGCTCCTCAATGGTTGGAAACCCTAATTGTACTTGCTCTTTTGAAAACGAAGCCCTAATGATATTTTGTGTAGTACGAATACCTCGGATTGCACTGTATATTCAATTGTTCAAGACTCCAATGTACATATATGTATAAGTGTTTAATCTTGTCTAGTAAATGTATTTCGCCGAGACTATGATTTTTTGGTTTGGTGGCATGTTCTCACCTTAGTAGTTTCCAATTGTGCATTTTCTTTGGGTCCTATCGCGCGCACTATATCGGGTTTGTGTAAATCGACTTAGTAGTCCCGGCGAGAGCTGGGCAGGCGGTTCGCTAACCCCTTTGGTATGCCTTAGGGAAAGGTGGGGCCGTCATAGCGAGGGGCCCGGAGGACTGGGTGATGCGTAGGCGGGTGATCCGATATCGGAAGAGGCCTAGGGAGCCCTACACTTTGTATTCCCCCTTTGGTCAGGTGTTGGAACGACCCTGTGAGTGTTGGTATATGTATGGCTACCCTGACGAGGTCGTCCTGGCAGTGGACGACGAGCGACGCAGCTTGGGGAAGGCTTGCGATCGTTTGACTAGACAGCTAGAGGAGGCTAGAGAGGTTGGCCACGGGCAGGCGTTGCGCATTAGGGACTTGGAGCGGGGCCTCCGAGACGCACACCAGTACCTCTTCGCTATGAAGAGGCAGCTTAGGGAGAGGGCCCGGAGTATTACATTGGACTGCGAGGTCCTATTAGATATGGCCGCGGAGGCACCACCAGGAGCTACCGGCCCAGAGTTGATCGGCGAGGTGGATACTCTAGGTTCCGTTGGGAATTGGGCTCCTAGGGGAGGCGTTTAAGGTCGCCTTTGTACTTTCTTTTGACTATCTGGCGGATTACTTTTGTTAGAACCAACATGGCTGGTTTCTTTTGTTATTTGGTTGACTGACTACATTTTGGAGCTGGGTGCTCATGTGTATACTGGGTTTTGTACCAACAGGAGGTCGGGTGATTTGTATCTCTTTTGGTATGACTTTGTAGATATATATGTGACTTTTGGGAACACTTTTGTATATAACCTTTTGTGTACATATATGTATATAGTTGAAAACAATCTTTCTGGGTTCATTTTTTTGTGTGACTCTTGTATATGTGCATTTTTATTTGGTATTCTCTATTTTGTTCACATTTTGAATACTAAGTTTACAATTTATTGGGATTTATAGACTCTGAATCTAAATAGACTCCGGTGGTCGGGGTAAAGGTAGAGGGCGAGGACGAAACCCTGAAAGGGAAAATGAACATGAGCCAGATCAAGTAGCTACAGCCATCCAGCGAATGGCTGACCTGCTAGAACGTATGGTTGACCAACAAGGTCAGGGCCATGGGAATACTATAGGAAACCCTGGAAATAATCCAAGCAATCAAGAGGGAGAGGACCGTGCTTTAGAACGGTTCCAAAAATTTGCACCTCCCAAGTTTATAGGTGGACCTAATCCTGACCTAGCAGAGGGTTGGATGGACCGTATGATGGATATATTTGCCGCACTTGGGTATTCGGAGGAAAAACAGATATCTTTTGCTATTTTTCAGTTTGACGGGGCTGCTCGAACTTGGTGGAATGTGATTAAAGCCAAGTGGGAGCGAGAACAGACCCCCTGGACATGGGTTAATTTTACACGGGAATTTAATGAAAAATATCTGCCGCCCATTGTGCAAGAGAAACGGGAAGATGATTTTATTCGCTTGCATCAAGGGGCATCTAGTGTGGCGGAGTATGAAATCCAGTTTACAAAACTCTCTCGCTTTGCCCCAGATCTGGTGCTAACGAAGCAAAAACGAATCCGCCGCTTCGTTCAAGGTTTAAATGTGGAAATCCAAGAAGCACTAGCGGCCGCCCAACTGGACACATTTAGTCAGGCACTAGAAAAGGCACAAAGAATTGAGACTACCAGGGGACAGGTTAAAGCCTTCCATGACCGAAAAAGAAAACAACCTAGCTCAAGCAATATTGCAACCAGACAAAACTCGAGAAACGAGTCACCCTCTAAGATGAGTAGAGCAACTGGTGGTCCACAAGATAATGTGGAAAAAGGTCAGGTAGGGCAAAGGTTCCAGAGGAGTGGCCAGCATAGAGGATCAACAATAGGAACTAAACCGACCTGTAGTTTCTGTGGGGGCAATCACACTGATGAGAATTGCTGGAAAAATAGTTCGGTACAAAAATGCTTTAAATGTGGTAGTACGGAACATCTAATTGCTCAATGCCCTAAGATGCAGAAAGAGAGACTTAAGCCACCGACTGAAGGGACCACAGCTAAGCCGTCAAATGCAGGGGAAAATCGACCCAAAGGACTAGCTAGAGTATATGCAATGGGTCAACAGGAGGTGACTGACCCTTCGGCGGGCATCGAAGGTACGCTCTCTCTTATCGGCGCACTGCAAGTGTTTAATAGACCCTGACGACATGTATTCTTGTAAACCCTGCAATTATGGTTCACGAATAAAGGCATTAATTTTGAGGACGAAATTATTCTAAGTGGGGGAGGTTGTGAGACCCCGGTCAGTTCTTAAGTTTCATATTAGGTGATATTCATTATTTGTGCGATAAAATTTGGTTTCAGGGTTAATGAGAAAATCCTAATTTGGGTTAAAATTAAAACCCTAGCTTTTATATTAAGCACAAGATCGAGTTATAGTTAAGCTAGCTATTCTAGTGCGTGTTTTGGAGTAAGTAATTATGGGATTCGATTTATTTTATATAGGTTAAGTAAGTTTAAAAGTTAGAAAACCTCAGACTAGTAAACCCTCTAGTGTTACAATAGATTAGAAAGCTTAAGTTGGGATTAAAACCTTAATTTTGCCAATGTTATAAAGGTTGTTGTTTAATTGTTTTTATTATGGAGAAAGTATGTTTAAGTATAGGTGATTAGGATAGGAAAGTGATTAGTGAAGCAATTAAGTGTGATTACATGTTTTAGACTAGATTAGGTTTAAGTCCTATGAAGTAAATTGAAAGAGTTCCAAATGTTTGAGGGCAAGAGTGGAACAAAAGCTAAGTTGAAGTGCAATGGTTAAGAAGCAAATAAGGTACTTTTATGTGATTGGTTAGCCATAAGAAATATCTTTCCTAAGTGGTCCTGCACCACATATTAGTCACAAGGGACCTAACCAAGTCTTTAGTAAGACAAAACAAAGCAAAACAAGAGAGGGAGATAGAGAGAGGGAGCCGTGGGAGAAGAAGAAGAAAACAAGGGAAAGTTTGCAAAGGTCAACCAAAATTTTTCCATAAATTTTCATCTTGAAGCATAAAGAATCCTCCTTGGAGTTGGCCTAAGGTCATTAGCCATCATACATACGTTATTTTGAGGTAAGAAAGTCTAGTTGAAGGTTTAAGTTGGTTAATGATTCATGAACTAGTGGTTATTGTGGTAAAGGATGTTAGTTGTGATTGAGTATGGTGCCTTTTATGTTTCCCACTTGTTTTTATGGATTAATTTGGTGAAATTTGGGGCCTTGATGTTCAGCCATATGAACCCTAATTAGGGTTTCTTGTTAAACATTTTAGTTAGCTCTAATCTTGTGTTATTGAACTTGTAGTGGTTGTGTTTGATGATTGGTTTCATTGGTTTGGTGAGTGAATGATAAAAACTGATTTGGGTTAAGAAACCCTAGGCTAAAGCAAGGAGTATAAACTTGGTTAAGGATTAGCTTGGTTAGGGTTTGATGGGTTAAGTTTTGAAGTGGCTAGAGTTGGTGAGATTAGAATCTTTATTAAGGTTAGTGTTTGGTAAGTTTTGGGATTAAATTGGGAAAGGAATTTTGGGCCTTTTGTGAAGCTATTAGAAGCTGGTATATGTGTGTTTATTTGGTATGAATTTGGCCTGAAAGTTTGTATGAGAACCATAGAAACGGACCATGCGTTTGTGACGTTCGAAACCGGCAAAACTGGAAACAGGGCAGTCCACAAATCTGAACTTGAGCTCACTTTTTCTTTATGATACGTACTGATTCAGAAGTTTCTCAAAACATGAAAGTTGTAGTTTCTTAAGTCCTTAAGGTGCCTGCAAAATTTCAGGTCAAGCAGATTAGTGTAGCCCGAGTTATAGCCAAAACACTCACTCCTGTTTTGAACACTGGATTGTGTTACGTTTTTGAATTCTGCTTCTGACCATGCTCTGTCTGTCTTGATAACGTGCGAACTGGGTGTTGATCCCTTCATAAGAAATGTATATCTTGGTCTTAGCTTCGAAACAGTATAAAGTGCATCCAAATCCGAGTTCTGTAACTTCAGTTATGACCAAAACAAGATCAGTTGTCAGAAATGCCTTCGAATTTGGACAGTTCTGACAGGAACTTTGAACCCGTTTTCCATATGCTCCGTACTGATTCAGCTTTTGGTCAAAACACAAAAGTTATAGCCTTATAAATAAGGTTTCTAACGCCTTTGGAATTTCTTGATTTCAATCCCTGAGTCGTGAGTTATGGTCTTTCAAACAGGGCCTATTTGGTAACCCGAAATAAAATGGCTGGAACAGTTTTGCACATTTTTGTCCTAATTCCATTGAGATCTGGCTTGAGGTGTCTTCATGAAAGTTGTAACCCTTCTTCTTAGCTTCACAACAGTACCTCATGCACTTCGATCTGATAATCGTAGCCTAAAATTTGATCAAAACGATTCTAGGTGCCAAATCTGCCGTTTCCGTTGCCGGTCGTTCACGTTTTCGTTTGCCGTTTCCGCACTGCATGTGCCAATTTTGCCGTTTCGCTTGTTTTAGGCATGTTAGTAGCCGTTTGTGATATAATGTGATGCAATCTTCTATTTCAGACGGTGATGAACTAGACAGAGTCGGTGGGGCCTACTAGCTATCCTGCGCGACGCGATTTCGTACTTTTGCTATCTTGGTCCTTTGAGTAAGTATTCGGGCCGTTTTTGTATATAACTTGCTTATGTGTTTAAGATGAATGAAAGGGTACCTAGGCGAGGGTGTACTTCGTCGCACTCGACCTAAATCCTAATTTACATGCATATTTATACATGACACGTCTAAATGACTTATTTTGGGTTTGAACCCCTTGAGCTTGTAGCTCGGGGTGACGTTTGTGAGTTGGGGTCGATCTTCCGACCTAGATGGACTATTCGAGCCAGTTGGGGCTTGGTTGAAAGCAGTCCAACCTAGTTTGAGGTCACCAAGTTTGTGAATCCGATTCACCGAGAATATGAACCAAGTTTGTGAACCGAGCTTGTGAACCAAGCTCAATTTCGTTCGCTCGAGCAATTTCGTGAGGTGACTAGCCAGTGAGGGTGATAAGGTGTTAGGTGTGTGAGGCCCCAGTCCGTTCTTAAGTTTGATATTAAGTTTTATTCATTATTTGTGCGGTAACATTAGGTTTTGGGACTAATTTGAAAACCCTAAGTTGGGGTTAGGATTGAAACCCTAGTTTTGTATTAAACATAAGTTCGAGTGGTGATTAAAGTTAGTTATGCTAGTGTGTGTTTTAATGCGGGTAAGTATAGGATTTGATCCATTTTATAGGTTAAATAAGTTTAAAAAGGTTAGAAACCCTAAATGAGTAAATCTCTAGTGTTATGTTTTTTTAGAAGTTTTTATTTGGGTTTAAACCCTAACTTTGTCCTTGACAAAATATTGTGGTTTAATTGCTTTTATGTGAAATAAAGTATGCTTAAGTATAGGTAATTAAGGTAGGAAAGTGATTAGTGAAGTAATTAAGTGTGAAGACATGTTTTGGACTAGATTAAGTTATGACCTATGGAGTTAATTGAAAGAGTCCAAAATGTTTGAGGGCAAGAGTGGAACTAAAGCTAAGTTGAAGTGTAAGGGTTAAAAAGCAAATAAAG